TATTGTAGTTTAACGTCCTTTCTCAGCCCAAAGGGCTATATAAGACGTGCAGGCTTAAGGCCTGCAAGTAACTACGTAGGCTAGAATTTAATCTAGGTACAAATTGAGTAGGTACAATGTAGGGGGTTATCTAAATGAAGGTAAGGCTCGTAGCCTAGTAGTTTTTTAGTGAGTAACTCTCTCAGATCTTTCACTTTAAATGAGTCTTCCTCTCAAGTTTTAACGAGTAACTCTCTCAGTCGAATAGGTAGTTTAATGAGTAACTCTCTCATGTGGGTGGACCATAAATATGGTTGTGAGGGGAGAAGGATTCGAACCTTCGATCTTTGCTGACGTGAGACAGCAGAAAATTTTCCAGGCGCTCCACCACTGCGCCATCCCCCCGGTCGGTTCTCCTAGATAGCGTGCTTTCCTAGCGGTTTCCAGAAAACTCGAAGTTGGTGGGTCGGTTCTCTTATTATTATTGGAGGTGGTTATTACTCGGTGCGGCAAGTGGTACTAAGCCTGGGGCGTGCTGAGTCAGTCACCCTTGCGGCTTGGTGCTATGCTCTTACCATACCCCACACCATCACTATACTCACGCAGTGGGAGACGGATCAATCAAAGATGCGTATTGGTTATTTCAAACTGAGTGAAAAAAAAATCGCTAAATCGCCATTCAAACATGCAGACGCCGTAACCCGTACCCAATCATAACTCAAAATGCAGCTTTTTTTTTCAAGCGTACATATGCTAGTCAAAATAGAAAAGAAAAACGCTCTAGACTTGCTTCTTCTGCTGTTCGCATCGCTGTGCAGCATTATAACCGCTCCGGACCGCCGCTAAAGCTGTAGCCACTTCCCGTGTGGCTGGGCTGTCGATCCATGCCACTCAAGCGACTCCCCATGCTCGCTCCAGCCTCTTTTCTGTACTCGTCATAGCCGCCCGGACTCAGCGCATCAACGCCAGCAGCAATGCTGCCCCGGTCTTCTCTGCTGTAGTCGGCATACGGTGGAGCAGTTCGTCCCTCGCCCCAGCTCAGCGGTCGGCCCGGGTGTCGGCCCTCGTCCGTCTCCGTCGAATTCAGCAAAGCATACTCGTCTTCCTGCTGGTTTCCGCCGTGTTCCGTGCGCTGGTCGAGCGAATCGCTCGAGTCGCGGCCGTGTGCCGTCTCGATTTCCGTGGACCAGGCGGCATCCTTGGAGTTGTTGTAGGCAGAGTCTCCGCTGGCGTAGTGGGGGTCCTGGGACGATGACTGGTACGGCATGACGCCTTCGCGGAGGAACTTGTGCAAGTAGTAGCCGGATATGGCGGTGGTTATGGCGAAGAAGATGCTGGTCTGACGTTAGCTTGCTCGAAAAGGTACATGATGCGCGCTGCAAAGCTCATGGCGGCATAAGTAATGGCTGGCTGCTTACAATACCATGACGCCGATTCCGACCGACGCCTTACTGACGCTGCACTTGGCCTCGTCGCCATACAAGAAAGTCGAGCAGTTCCGGTCATTGTCTGGTATCTTTGCCTTCTTGGCACCTTCAGTGATGCCTTCCGAGTTCCACACAGCAACCGAGACAAAGGCTGCAAACCAGAGGATCGTGTACAGGACGTCGAGGGCGAGGAAGGCGTAGGCAGAGGCAAATCGCTGGGCGCGCGACCACATGGGCACCATTGTGAGGTAGATGATGGCGGGTATGGACAGGAAGCACTGCGGGCGACTTTGTCAGCGTTTGGCCTCGCACACAGCACCGGACAACAGCGACTTACCATGATGAAAAAGTACCTAGTGCCGCCGCCGATATCTCCATCCTTGGTCATAACAGCAATGGTCAGGCATGCCGCGATAAAGACGAATATGGCCTGGAAGCAATGCGCGACGACCTTGCATTTCTGGATATACGACTGGGGTATCCGCATGGTGAGGGGAGTATGGATGTGTGTGCGAGTGAGAGAGCGCAGCTGGTGCAAGCTCGGCGAGGGTGTCGCTGTAGGCGTGGGCGGTGTCGTGGGGGGAAAAGGGAGGAAATAGGTAAACAGTAAACACAAGCGAACAAGACAAGCTTGTCAGCCCTGTAGCGACGGAACCCGTGGATCCGTGGATGGGGCGCGCGGCAAGTCCGGTGGTGCCGAGTTCTGGTGAGCCACTTTTCGTCGCAGAGAGATGGAGGATGATCAACAGCCACAGCAACCGCCCGCCAGGTGGGGAGGGCTCGACAAAGGGTGCGGGAGAAGAATGGAAAAAAAAGTAAGGGAAAAGGGAGAGGACAGAGACAGAAGCAAAGGGCTGAGGCAGCAACTTTCTCCTGAGCGAGGGGCGCAAACGATGAGAGGGTGAGTTGCATGCAAGGCACTCGAGGTCTCAGCCTCAGCTTGGTGGATCCGCGACTACTTTGCAGTCGCGTCCCCCGCCGTCGGCTGCTTTTGGCGACAGCTGCAGGGTTGCTGTCGAGCCGGGCAACGGGACTTGCTGGTCAGGAATCGGCGTGGCGGTAGCAGTAGTGTGCATGTGGTGATACTGCGACTGGCCGTGGCCGTGGCAGTGTAGCGCCACAGCTGCGTTATTAATAGCCTGTGCCGTCGCCCTCTGGTCCGCTGGTCGCTGGTGGTCGTCATGGTCGTGGTCGCGATGCCGCCGAGGACGGGCCAGGCGTTTCTGCGGCGACAGGCGGGATGGGCCTGAGTCGCTGTTGAGGCCTGAATCTGCATCCGTATGCTCTTGTGCTTGGTGCGCCTCCCTTCTCATGCCGTGCACAGTGCTGTCGTGCTGTCTCGCAGCTGTATGTGCCTCACACAGCCGTGGGCGGGGCATCCCCGCTGCATCACGACAGCCGCACCGCAGCACATGGCTGTCGTCACCGGTCACCAGTCCTGGCTGGCCATAAGTGCGAGGGTCATGGGTGATGGCAGAGATGGTGTGCGCCAGCTCATCTCCTCTTCTCAGCTGATGGAGCCGTCCCAAAGCCTCAGGCAGCCTCGCGTGCCGCTAACACTGCCACACTGGACCAGTCACGTGACCCGCCCACTCCTCCAGCATCGACTTTGCCAGTGACCACGGCGGCAGGGACAGTCTGCTTCTCGTTGCCCATTGCTTTCCCCTCGGGTCCTCGAATATCTCTTGCACCGGCGCTGCCCGGCATGCTGAAACCCGCTTCGTCACGTGCGCCATCCGCGACCGCAATGCAACACCCCCCAGCTTTTTCGACCCGAGAACCGTGGTACTGAAGTCATGACGACAAAGAAGCTCAACTCAGTATTCAACAAGGCGGGGGCGGGGCAGGCCGAGTTGGAGCCATGGTGGCCCCACGTAAGATGGAGTTCCGACTGCATTTAATAATCCTGAAGACACGGCCGCGCGCGTTGGCTCTGCTTTAATAATCAGTCTGGGGTAACCGCCGACGCGGCCCTGACTGCATACTCAAGCCCACCACCCACAGCGCGTCTTCTGTACGCCATCTACTCATTGGTTCTTGGCATGGCCTAGGGCGCGCCCAAACTAACGTCTTATGCATATGTACGTCGAGCTTGCTGGCACCATGGTAAGCTCCCGTTGCAACATCGTCTATCTACACGGCCCAACAAGCCCATTCACTCGGTACGAGCTACCACATTCTACTCGCTCCTATCCACCCTTCGGCTCCAACGCCGCCCAACGCCCTGCACTACGTGACATCCACCGGCCACCCACCACTGTCCTTGGCCAGGGATTGCTGCAAAGAGAAAATGGTCCTAAAACGGTCAGTAAGTTTGATCGGAATCGATGCGTCTGCAAAAAACAAGTCAATCTAGAACCTTTGCGCACAGTCAACCTCACTCCGAGGCTGCAGACAAGCGGGGACAAGCTGAGCATAGTCTACTACTCTCTGAGCTACCACTTGGCTCGCCCCTGCTCTTCTATTTTGCTATGTATGAGCTCAGACAACCAGCAACCCCAGTTCGGAGCAGCGAGGTATTGCGGTACCATCTGGCGTCACTGTCATCGCGCTGTATGTGTGCGTGTCCTGCTCAACAACGCCGTCCACCCGCTTGGGCGACCTTGTTACGTTACGACATCGTTGTAGTTTTCAACCGGGCATGATCAACTGATCCAAGGCGAGCTCAGAGGAGCTCGCCGTGCGCGATGACTGATGGAAATTTCTCTGGGCATGTGTATAGGAGGCACCGAAGTAGGTGAATCATGTGCCGTTCAGCCCCATGCCACGTTGGTCCGTCTGCGTCTCTTCTTCTTCTTTTTTGCTTATTGCAAGCTGCATCACACACCGCTCGAATCCACATAGGTACATCTTGGCCAGGTCGATTCTCAACAGCCCATCTCCTTGTCGAGAGAGCGGTAGACGGGTCCATTAGGGCCGAGTAGCGGCGGAACAGCGGATATCCGTACAGGCGACGCCCGGGCTGCTTCTCACGCCCTATGCTCGACCTCTATTGCCGGTAGACATGGGGCTCCAGGTGGTTGGACTGGTGGGTATGGCGAGTGTTTAGGATACCGTCGGCTTGGCCTGAGTTGGACGAGAACGAGGGGGTGTCTTGCCTGGGTGCTGCATTGTTGCACGAGCACAGTAATCCGTGAAGGCCTCGAGTGCGTAAGACATTTCGGAAAAGCAGGAGCTGCTAGTTCGCATCAGGGAATGGGACCGGCAGAGAACGCAGTCATGATAGTGATAGCGTGGGAGCCATTTGCTGTGCAGCCGCAGCCATGTGGAGTGCAAAGTCGAAGGCGGGGGAGGGAAGACTGAGTCCAACTGAGTGGGAAGACGGCGCTTGGCCGGCGCTAGTCCCAAACCGGCATAAGCGAGCCTCGACCCATTGAATCCCTGCCAGCGCCCTCGGGGCTCCACGTGGCTGCACTCTTCACACGCAAACCAACTGCAGACAAAGTTACCAGCGACATGGTGCGAAGGAGACAATCTTCTCCAGATGCTCTGGCTACCGCTGCGTCTGGCGCCGCGCTGAGAGAGAGAAAGAGCGCGCACACACACTTGCAATCTTCCCCACTTACACCTGCAGGTGCTCTCTACTAATCATCGCTATCCCGGATCCGATTTTTCTGTTTTGTAATCATGTTGCAGACCCCGAGTCAGAAAGAATATTCAACGACGGTCGACGAGGCGTCATCACGCGCCTCCCTTGGATACATACATGCTCTTTGCGCACGTAGAAAATCGCCCTTGTAGACGGGATCTCGTCCTCGTCGCCGTGGCCGGGGCACGCTTCGCCGCCACCCCACGACCGATTGTTGTTATATAAGCAACAGGAACATGACTTCGCCGTTCCAGAACACCATTCCCTCGGACCGCTTGCCCGCTGAAAAGGGTCGATATGTCCTGTACATCAACTACGTCTGCCCGTGGGCTCACCGCGTCATCCTTGTCCGCGCGTTGAAGCGACTCGAGGACGCGATCGAGCTGGTCGAAGTACGGAGGTGACTGTCAAAAGTTCTTGCTGACAGGGGTGCATTGATTACCGCTGAAAATAGGGCTAAAGCTATATAGATTAGTCCCGCTGCCTCTCTTTGTACTTATTGCTACTTTTAAGTTTAATAATTTCTTAAATATAAAATAAAATACGCTCTATCTAAGCTTAAATTTAGTATTAAAGTAGCTTATTCTAGTACTATTACTATATTTTTATTCGTTTTACTTAACTTTTTAGTGCGCCTTTTTATATTATTTTTCTTTTAGGCTATAGCTAGGCTACTTTAATAGTATTAAGATTGAATAAACTACTTAGCTATAAGAGCTACTTTACTTTAGTATTTTAGTATATAGTTCTTCAAGCGTAGTAAGTATATAAAAGTACTTTTTTTTCAAATAAACATATATAGTTTTTTTCTAGTACTTCTTTATAAAGAGAATTAGCTTTAAACTAAGAACTTAAGTTTAGTAATACTACTAATTAATACTACTATAACTACTTTTATAAGCTGGCTTACTTATCTTTTTTACTTATCTTTATTATAGAACTTTACTAAGCTTATTATATAATTTAAGCTTTTTTATACTTATTATAAGCTTTTATACCTCTCTTATAAAGGGCTTTAAAGCATTATTTAACGTTTTAATTTAGAAAGTAGTAGCTCTTTTCTTTTGTATAGTTTTAGGCCTTTAAATATAGTAAAAACTTTTATAGTTATATATAAAGTAGCCTTAGAATATAAATTTAGAGTAGCCTTCTTACTACTTGTAAATAATACTTTTAGTAAAGACTTTGTTTAGGTATTACTATATATAATAACTACTACAATAATAGTTAAAAATAATAAAAGTTTTATTTAACTAAATAACGTTTTTCTAATTTTTAAGTATTTAATTTTTATCAGTAAGACACTACTTGAAGTCTTTTTTATCTTATCTTTATTATTAACTTAGGCTTCTTTATTAGCTTTATTTTATTATAACTAGCTACTCAAAGAAATCTTTACATAGTAGATAATAAGATTTGATAGCTACAAATATTAAGACTACTAGTAATATTAGCGTAGCTTTTCTTTCTATACTCATTATAGTGTACGTTTTAAAAGTATAATTATATATTTTTTTATTTATAAGAGTAGCCTATATATAGGGTATTTTTGAAGTACTATAAAAGAATCTTAATTAGGCGTGCGTTAAGCTTAAAGTCTTACTAGTAGGCTTTACTATAAATTAAGTTAACTATATATAGTAGTATACTTATCATTTTTATAATCTTAGGTGTAGATTTGCTACTAAAAGGTAACTTTAATATAATAATAAAAGAGTAAGTTAATATATTTATATTTACAGCTATAGTAAATTAAAAATACTTAAGAGAATAAGTATATAAGCTATTACTAGCTTTAGAAAATTAGTGTAGGCGCTAAGAATAGTTAGGCCGATAGGCTGGCGGCTTAGCGTGGCGCTAGCAAGAACTTTTGACAGTCACCTCCGTAGACGCGCGCGATCCAGTCCATGGCTGGTATTTCTCAGGCCGGAGTGGGCCAGCAAAGGACCCCGTGTACGGCGCAAGGTTCCTCAAGGAACTCTATTTGAGGGCAGACCCCTATTACAAGGGGAGAGTGACTGTCCCGCTGCTGTGGGATAAGCACCATGGTAAACGCCTGGACTTGACCTGTTGACAAGCGAGAAACATGTATAGTCTGACTGGGGTTCAGGCACCACGGTCAACAACGAAAGCGCCGCAATCACTCGCATGCTCTTCGAAGCCTTCGACGCCCTCCTGCCGCCAGACCACCGCGAGGCCAACAAAGGCATCGCTGCGTTCCGCCCAGCACACATTGCCGCCGAAATGGACGCGCTGAATGCCTGGGTCTACGACACGGTGAACAACGGCGTGTACAAGGTGGGCTTTGCGACGTCGCTGCAGGCGTACCGGGAACACGTGAACCAACTATTCCAATCGCTCGATCGGCTCGAGGACCATCTGTCGCAGCCAAAGCACTCGCCGTACCTGTTTGGCCAGTACATCACCGAGTCAGACATTTACCTGTTCACGACGCTCATCCGTTTCGACACGGCCTATTATCCCTTCTTCAAGTGCAATCTCAAGATGATTCGCCGCGACTACCCTCGTCTCCATGCTTGGCTGAGGCGGCTCTATTGGAGCAACGGCCCGGAAACCTGTGGCGGTGTCTTTCGGACTAGTACAAACTTTGACGCGGTACGCCGTGTAAGCTCGCCGGCCAACACAGGAGAGAGTGGCTGACTTTGAAACAGATTACAAGAGGCTATGGCGCCGTTGTGGGTAAGGGTCCCATGCCGCCACACATTGTACCGCCAATCATGCCCTGGTGACCGTTTTATTTTGTTGTCCTGCTGTTGTTTCCCAGTTGGAGTTGGGTCTGGACTTGAACTTGGTGCTGTGCTGCGCTGCCCATCAGAAATCTACAATCTAGACAGAGTAATACATGGTCATTCATACGAAACATGTACAGTCATCCCTTGGCCAAATTTACGTATTACTAACAAAACCCATGCCGTTCTCACACCATGGCAGTGCAGCATCCGAGCCGCACTTGGACGTATCCAACAGAGTTATGTAACGTACCCATTCTCTCACAGCTACTTGTTCTGCGGGGTAAACGCCTCCTTCCCTGCACTAATAAAAGTAGATTGCGTCTTCAACCCTGCCCGGGCACCCCTTCAATGCCCTTATTCCCGCACATACACCATTTTAAAACCTCCTATGTGCTGACTGTACTCGCAGCTTATTCCCGAGCCAAAAAAAAACAAAGCCTCCTCTTCCTTTTATCATCACCTATAAATCCATAACTATATATATATATACCCCTACCCTGTTTTTTTTTCCCGCAACCAGGTTCCTTACTAGCGCCCTTCTTCACACGTGTGTGCACACACACCCTTCTTCCGTCAGTGTGGGGCTTTGCTCTGTTATTATTATTGTTATTATTATTTTCAGTACACTTCCGTTGTTTGTCTCATGCCACGAAATAAAGGGCGGCCGCGTAAGGAGTCTCGGAAAAACGCTGACTCGACAGCAAGCACGGCTCGAGTTTCAATAGTAAACAGTAAAGTAACTAAGTAAGTACGTAAGTACGTAAGTAAGTAAGTAAGTAAGTGGTCAGCCCTCTTCTTGTGTGTGTGTGTGTGTGTTCTTACATAAGAACCTGCCTTTTGCAGCATGCCCGTCCGATTGGCCGGGTTCCAGGGCGTGTGTGTGTGTGTGTGTGTGTGTGTGTGTACTAGTTGGTTCGTTATTTTCCGGCCGCCCGCCATAAAGTATGACTAAGTAATGTGCTCTCCACCCTTCTACCCCAACCGCAAATCACGGACTGTGCCGAGAACTCTACTAAATCCGTACCTCTCATTTTTTTTCCCTTCCCTTCCCTTTCTTCCAGGAATCGATCGAATGATTTGTTTCGAGTGCGGGAGATATGTGTGTGTGTGTGTGCGGCGCTAATTTCACGTCCCCGTCTCCCGCGCGCGCGTGCTTTCCCGTCTTTCCCTTTTTTTTCTTCTTCTGTCTCTCTCTGTCTCCGTAACTTGGCGTGGGCTGGATCGAGACTAAGTAGGGACTTTACTCAGGGTGCGGGCGCTGCTTCCCAAGTGCCATGCCCTTGTTCTGGCTAACAATAGCTTTTTTGCAAAGGCTAGGGGCTGAAAGCAATGGTTTTTTTGGAGACCAAAGTCCATTGCAGAGACAGACTTGTGCAAAAAAAAAGAGGAAAGATTGACTTTGAAAAAAAGATTGAAACGTGTAGAATAGTAAATAAAGTCATAAACAATAGCATTAAATCAAAAGAATGGAGAAGAAAAACAATTCTATCTTTATAACCCAACCTTGTGTATGCGCCGTGTCTTGCTCTACGTACAGTAATCCTGCTTCTACATAGTCTGTCGATTGTTGCGCTCCTGTGACGACACGAGGAGCTCAGTTTTGCGCGTGATAATGCCCAGCTGCAAAATGGACTCCTCGCTCCCGTGTTCGATAGATCCGTTATTGTGCGTGGTACTATCGATGCCGCTGGCGAGGCGAATGGATTCGTGTTTGGTGCTGCGCTTCGACTTGAAAGCGTAGATGCCTTTGGACGCGCCCCTCGAGTTGGCCGACGAGCTCTTCTGCGTCGTCTTGTCGACGAAATACGTAAATAGAGGCGCGAGCGTGGGGATCGAGGCCACGATGATGCCCAGGTTGTTTTCGACGGCCGACCACATGATGACTTTGCTCGAGTCGAGGTAGTTGGTCAGGCTGCTGATTGTCTGGATGCGGATCACTTGGATGATGGTGATGAAGGTGCCGAGGGCAAGGAGACAGAGAAGGACGGCCTTCTTTCGCTTTTGGATGTGGCTCTTGAGCAGGACTGGAAAAGGGAGGAACATGCTTTTGGGCGTGAGTTTTTTGCAAGTGTAGGTATGGTGGGCATACTTACACTGTGACGTCCAGGACCATGGTTATCGACGATGTGGTCGTGTACACGGGCACAGCGGGCAAACACTTTCCACCAACGATTTTCCGGTCCCACTGCACGGCGATCTACATGGTGTTAGGGATGAGTATGGGATTGTGTGACGTAGAGACTTACCGGTTGGCACAGATTGATCTGGATACAGAGAAAGGTAAGGTGGAAAAGGATACAAGCAACGATGACGATGATGTTGGAGGTGCGTGCTACGCCATGAGGCATGAAGCGGAGGTACGTCAACATGAGGCTGAGCTTGAAGCCCATGATACTCGTGATGTAGCTGACAAAGCTGTTAGATGCATTCGTCTGAGGTTTGAAAAGTATGTCAAACTCACAAAGGGGCGCCGATAAATTGTAGCTGTTCTCATTAGCAACTGGCACTGTCAAAGATATCAGGCGTGGCTCATCACTTACCAGACCAAAATTAAAGACGTTTTCTGCAGGCATGTCGGGCACATGCTTGAGCCCAAGGCCCCATTTTGTCTCTGGAGAAGCGGAGTCAGTTAAGGCGTCCGGCAGTGCATCTGTAGTGTAAGGTCCACTCACGGAGGATGCTCACAACAGCAAAGCCACAGGCTGCTATCTGCAAGCTGTCAGAGATAGCCTCGTAGCAAAGAGAACTTGCATTGATTTACCCATGTCAAAACCAGAATCACATCGTCTATGGACACGTCAACATCAAGCCATGTTGAAGAAGTTGGGTAGATGAATATACATACCAGCACCAACAGTCTTGATCATCCACGCACGCACGTACATGCGGAGAGACAGCATTATAAACGAAGCAACTGTAAAGACAATGCAGATGACGGTAATGTGTGGGCCATTGTTGGGCACGCCATCGGGGGTGTTGTAAGTCCAGCCCATGGTAGCAATACTACGCAGTTACTGTTGTTGCTTGGGTTGCAATCGAGTGTTGCGTTTGGCCAAAGATGAGGATTTTGACACGAGCAGCCCGCGGTGCTTTTGCAGATCATTCTGACGGTATTCATAGAGTCTAGAGTACCGCCGGTGAGGGAGGGGGGGGGGGTTCCTGCATGTACGGATCGCGGATTGCCGCTGAGGCCTCACTAACCTTTGCCTGGGTCTCTGGCATCCACCCTCTGGAGGGGCAGTATGTGTCTCTGATATTACGACGAGAGTTTCACCGAGATCAGTTCGCGACAGCCCACCGGGCGGGCGAACATGCTTGGTCGACATGTCAGTGCATGCACGCGTTTCGTCCAAGTAGCCGTGTACAGGTTTGCATTGGCATGGTCCGGCTGTCTTGATATGGCAACGCTGCATCTCCTGCATGCCACCGAATTTGCCAACGACACCCGAGAGCAAGAACTAGTGCATCTGTGTGTGCAACGCCGTTGGAGCATGGTGGGCCAAGTCGTGGAATGTTCCGGTTGACATGGCATGCAGCGGACGTCTCCAGCCCAAACGGCCTAGGCGGACGGGTTCGAGATTTTTACTAACACACGTAGCTCGCGTCGAAAAGGCGCCGACCCGCCCCTGGTAGGAAATGATGGGCGAGTTGTTAATTGGGACACGGTTCCAAGGGCGCTAGGCCGGGGGGAATAGGCGCTCGAGGTCCGTCGGCCAGATTGGTACTTGGCCAAGTTGGGCCGGATGGATAACGCTTTGCGGCCAAGGATTACCCCATCGTCTTAGACGCAGAGGGCTCACGTAGCAGGGTACCTGGACGCCCGGTGGCGCCTTTGCCATGGCCATGCTCATGGAGACAGCCTTTCCCACCGCTATGCGCGCGGGAAACAGCACAGGAATGGTTCTCCAAGGCCGGACGGGGTGCTTGTGCGCGTCTGACAGCCCAGCCCAGCGCGTGTCGGTGAATTGCCATGCCGCCACACGTGGGCAGAAACCCAGCAAGTACATTAAGTAGATGCCACCAAGCGCCCGCACTAGACGGAGCCTGCTAGCCATTCCCGAGGCACCGCCATGTTAGCTGTGTGGCCAGACCAGAGGCAGAGGCCCCCAGGGCGTCTGTTATAATGGGCTGGCTGCTGCCGTGCATGTCCAGTCGTGCTGTTGGCGATACTTAGCTACAGTACTTACTTACTTACCCCATTGTCCGGCACTCGGGGTCCTTCACCAACATGCGCTTTCTCGCCCTTCCCCTCGCGCTTGGCGGCCTCAGCTCTGCCGCCGTCGTCTCCAGCAGCTGCAAGACGTTCCCCGGCGACAAGTCATGGCCAACGGGCGCCGACTGGTCCAACTTCAACGCTACCGTCGGAGGACGTCTGGTGGCTACTGTACCGCTGGGTGCGCCATGCCACGGCGCCGCCTTCAATCCCGCCGTGTGCGACACGCTCAAGAGCCAATGGCGGACGGAGAAGATCCAGTAGGTAATTTGGCCTCTGTTTCACACACATTGCTCTTACATGCTGCTAGCTACGACTCGTCCTCATCCGTCATGGCGCCCTTCTTTGCAAACCAGAGCTGTGATCCATTCCAGCCTCGCCAACGCCCGTGCAAGCTGGGCAATTACGTGCGGTATGCCGTCAAGGCATCGGGACCCCAGGATATCCAGCGTACTGTTGCGTATGCCGCACAGAAGAACATCCGACTCGTAATCCGTAACACTGCTCATGATTACCTGGGCCGCTCCACTGGCGCCGGCGCCCTAGCCGTGTGGACCCACCATCTCAAGGACATCACTTACATTCCAGAATTCTGTAGCTCTGCCTACTCGGGCCCAGCCTTCAAGGTTGGTGCCGGCGTGCAGGGTTTCGAGTTGATGGCCGCTGCGCGAGACTACGGACTTGTCACTGTAGGAGGCGAATGCCCGACGGTTGGCGTTGCTGGCGGCTACACCCAGGGCGGTGGCCATTCGGCCATCAGTACCAGCTTTGGCCTCGCTGTCGACAATGCCCTCGAATTCCAAGTCGTTACAGCTGCTGCCAAGCTCGTGAATGCCAGCCCCGTCGAGAACCCGGACCTGTACTGGGCGCTCAAGGGCGGCGGCGGCAGCACATATGGCATCGTTGTCTCCATGACGATCAAGGCCCACAAAGCAGCTGTCTTTGGAGGCGCCACCGTCAACTTCAACACAGCAAACAACAACCAGGCCGCCTTCTACGATGGTATCCAGGCCTTCCACGAGGAGCTGCCTGCCATGGTCGATGCCGGTGCCATGGTAGTCCACTACTTTACCTCTGAGTTCTTCGCCATCTCCCCGCTCACCGCGTACAACAAGACCGAGGCCGACGTCAAGACCATGCTTGCGCCCTTTCTCAACCGCCTGGACACTCTGGGCATCAAATCCACCGTCACGTACAGTGCGTCCAAAGACTACTACGACCACTTTGACAAGTACTTTGGCCCGCTGCCCCTCGGCAACATCAAGGTCGGCATTGCGCAGTACGGCGCGCGCCTGATTCCCCGCGCCCTTATCGGCAACATTACCTCGACATGGAAATCGGTTGTTGAGAAGGGCGTAACGTGGATCGGTGTCGGCACAGACGTCGGACGCTTTGGCTCCGAGAAGACGACATCGGTTCATCCCGCGTGGCGCAAGGCCATTGTGCATGCCACTCTCACGCTTCCCTGGAACTTCACCGCCCCCTGGTCCGAGGCGTTCCAGACGCAGCGCAAGATGACGAATGAGATCATGCCCATGGTCGAAGCAGCCACCCCCGGCAGCGGTTCCTACGTCAACGAGGCCGACTTCCGCCAGCCAAACTTCCAGTCCGTCTTCTGGGGCTCAAACTACCAGAAGCTGCTTGCTATCAAGAAGAAATGGGATCCGTCCAACTTTTTCTACGCTACCGTCGGAGTGGGTAGTGAGGCCTGGACCGTCAGGAATGATGGTCGCATGTGTCGGGCGAAATAGATTTTTTTGTGTTGTGCAACATAGACTTGTTTTCTTTTCAATATTTGTACTTTAGCACTGTATTTATAGTTTACTATATTTTGTTTGAGCAGAAGGTGTTAAGACGTACATGTGCCTATGAATGTGATGCATGTGAAAAGTCAGGCTTCCAAGGGTGTGCTAACAAAGTGTAAGCGCTCCGGGCCCAGTCACGTGGGAGCCTCACTTCCCGTATTCTCTCATACCACAAGTTGCTGGCTCTATACATTCCTTGCGATTAAGAACAAAAAAGGAGCAAAGACGTGTTTGTTGCATGTCGGGACTGGTACCATGGAACATAAGCGCACAGACCTCAACACCGAGCCCCGAGCACCGAACCCATCACGTGACCATCACAACACCAACACCACCGCCAGAGGCCGCTGCACTGGCAAAAAAAATCATGGACTCGCGGGGAATCGAACCCCGGACCACTCCCATGCTAAGGGAGTATTATACCACTAAACCACAAGCCCAATAGCGAAGAAGGAAGAACAATGAAATGCTGATCCTTGTTTGATGGAGGACACGGCCGCTAGATGCAATATATTTGCATGGCCAGCGGAAAATCAGCGGGATGAGCCAGGCGGAACGCAGACAGGGATTCATGGGGTGGAGTCGGTGGGATTTTTGCGATCAATTTCGCCGAACCAACCGACGAGCCAGGCCCTGACTCGCGACTAATCTTAGTAGCCACGCCAAATGTTACAACCCACACACAGAGAGGCGGGTCTCTCTCCCCCCCCCTCCACCGCACTTTTGATTTGGACGACACCCAATTGATTGCGATCCACGCTGATACGGAGACGCTGGAAAAAAAGCAAAAGCAAAAGAAAAACGATAACGAGAGCGCTGGGCATCGGATACCAGCGGGCGAATGACGCAAAACGCGTTCTTGGGCAGCAAAATGAGAGAGCCCCGTTGTGGAGTCATCGGCAGTCGGTGAAAGTGCCGAGGCCGTGCGAGTATGACTGAGACAGGCCCGTTGGCCAGGCTGCTGGGAAACCGGACATTATGCACATACGTACTGTGCTGCGACTGTATAGTATGTCATACACACTGTGCGAGTGTGTGAGAGAAGCCGACCGGGTACTGCACTGTGCTCAGCCTGACTAATATCGCGTTGCTAGACTGTGCGTAATTGCATGCAACGGCGCGACTGTACTTGGCGTTTAGAGTTTTGCTTGGCCGGGATGTGCGTCTTGTTGCATCAAACGACGTACACTCTATTCTAATCATATGAACAGCGCTGATTGCTGTTCTTGGGTGCTTGGCGGTCTCTTGCATCTTTCATGTATGTATAGTGCTGTCGGGAGGACTACGGTGGCTCTGCGATTCTCGTTTCTCCTCACGTCATGCCTTTCTGAAGAACCAACGGCGCACATTCAAGGGCAGGGTGAGTGGGTATTTTTAGGTCGGATGATATTCCTGGTTATGGTGCGCTATGTGTAGATGGCGAAACCCTTTTGCATGAATTTCGCAAAGTAACAATTCGAACCGTCATGACGGAGCGTTCTCCATTCGATGCGCTTGAAACCATTTCTTCAAACATTTACTAGGCGAAGAAGACAACGTGTAGAATGCGCCTGCCAGACTTTGAGGCTGGTCTCCCTCGGGGCTGTCGTGCAATCGGAGCTGTGTCAGGCTCATCTCGACTCCAATTCACGTTCGCGTTTTGCCACCGCCCTTTCTCTGTCTTGTAACTCGGCTTCTCTGCGGTCCAGCTCCTTCTCGCGCTGATTCAGCCTCTTCTCCCTTTCTTCTGCGTCTCCTTGGCTGTGCGTCTCGTGCTTCTCTCCAGCTGTCTCACGATCGCTGTCCGTTTCCGCTGACGGTTTCTCATTAATTGGCTTTGCGTTCAGCTTCCGTGGCTTCTTGCGACCCTGGCTGCCGTCTCTGTGCGTCGACGCTTCACCTGGTTGCTGATCAAACTGGCCGTCTCCAGTTTGCGGGCCTGATGTGCCACCGGTAGCCTGTGCACCCGCATTGGCTGCATCCGAAATGTCCTTTTGGTCGGGCATCATACCCTTTATGCTCTGCATCCATCCCTCGTCCAGCTGGCCTCCACCGCCTTCACTCTGGAATTTCTCAAGCTCCTCTGTGCCAGGCATCTTTTGCTCGTTGACCTGTCCAACCATCTTTTCCAAAGCTCTCTTCTGCTCCTCGCTTGCTGCCCATTCCGGGAGGAAGCCGGTTAGTTTTCGCATGCCTTGTCCAGCTACCTTGCCCATGTTCAGGAACGGCCCGTGAAGCGCTCCCGTAACGCCACCTATGCCAGCCCCCAATCCACCAAGCAGCGTTGAAGAAACGCCTCCAACTAGAGTACCAGTAATAGCTCCCAACGTGGCTCCCGGGGCTACACCAAGGCCTGTGCCCATTGCCATGCCTTGGAATGCACCTGAGCGTAGGTATTTTGCTGTTTTACCAAATGATTCTGCTTCAATCTGGGCGTTTGTAGCTTCTTCTGTCAGTCTTTGTCGCTCGTCAGGGTCGCCCGCTGCCGCCGCTGCATCTTGCAGTTCCTTGGCCTTCTTTTGAGCTGCGAGCGCAGCGTTGGCAGCTTTTCCTGACTCCTGACGCACTTCTTCGTCCGAAACAGCAGGCTTTTTCGATTTGGCGTCCTCCTCGGGCTTCTTCTCGCCATCTTTATTCAGTTTTCTCGGGGGCATCTTGCCTAGGTTTTTTGAAGTCGGGTTGCGTTGAGCTGCCATGTCTACAGAGGATTGTATTTTGATGTACGTCATCGACGCTAGCAGCGCTAAAGCAATAACTTGAATGCATTTCCCAGATCTCATCAGGATATTCAAGATGAGTAGCTGTAATGATCTTTTATCGAAATTATGTGCTTTATGAATCAATCTCATGTACTACTCTAAATTCTGGGATGACTAAATATTGCCAACTTGGATTATAGTACTTCAAAGTCATGACATGCATTCATCTTCCAACGTTTCTTCTCTGAACACATATTCACATTACTAGCAACCTCATTCCACTCCCGTAGTCGAGTAAAATCCAAAATCCATCTTTCAAGGATTCTGATTCCATATTATCTATAGTATCGACAAGCTCCCCAGTATATCTTTCAGCAGATGCAAAACACCACCAATGCGAGAAGCCTATTATCAGAGATGTCAACAATCAAGCTCATCAAGCCGAGCTAACTTGATACAGTAATAGGCTAGCTTTTTTAGGCCTAATCATTACTATATCGCGTTAGCTCGGCTTGATGAGCTTGATTGTTGACATCTCTGCCTATTATGCATAAAGCTATCCAAACATCCACACACAAACAACCCATCTCCTTTTCAAATGTGCAAATCGTACCCTCAAACCCATTCCTGCTGAATCTGAATCACGATTATCAAGCATCACCACCCATCCATCAAAGTGCAAGAATCCCCCCCACCTTAGCCAAGCCATACAGGCGCACCACTCCCTCAACAAGAGTTCCTCTAATGGACAAAATCATCCGGCTGAAACATATGGCAGCCTGGTATTAACTCGGTACCAGTATTACTCTACTGCCCCGAGTCCTCGGTGTTGACCACAGCTCCCTTGCAGGAACACCTCATTCGGCCGAAACCTCGGGGGATGGCTGGATACATAAAAGGGCACGACTTCGCAAACCTACTTCGACTACTCATACAAGCCTTCTGCAGAATCCCACACATATACACACGCTCGCACACAAGTCATCTTTGAAATTCAAAAATCAAAAACTTACACAACTTCATCCAATATGGTCAAGATCGCGATCGCCGGCGGTGCAGGAAGTACGTCAACAATAAAGGCGGAACCATACCGCTCGAGCGAGCATGAAACCAGGACTGACCAACTTTGACAGACGTAGCACAAGAAATCATCGATGTGCTACTCAGCACTGGAAAGCACGATATTCTGATTTTCACGCGAAGGGTGAGACAGCACTGCTCACTGCACAAGTAACCATCTTTTTTTTTCGAACTTGAGCTAATTTTCACTCTGCTACACAGGATATCCCCACCGAGAAGAGATCTGAGCACATTCGCTATGCGAAAACCAGCTACGGGGATGCGGAAGAACTAGTAGGATACCTGCGCGGCATAGACGTCGTGTTGTCATTCATCTGCCCGCATCGCGACCAGGCCGAAGCCATTTCGTGCCAGAAAAACCTCATCGATGCCAGCGTCAAAGCCGGTGTGAAGCGCTTCGCGCCGAGCGAATGGGCCATGTACGTTGCTGTCGTATCTTTTTAACCCCCCCCATATCTACTGCTGCTGCTAACCACGATTTCCTTAAAGGCAAAAACTCGATGGCCTGTCGTGGTACGAGTACAAGCGCGTTGCGCGGCAGTACCTGCAGGACATCAATAAAGATGCCAAGGTCATCGAGTACTGTCTGTTTCTGCCCGGCCTCTTTACGAATTACCTGACTAACCCGCACCCATCGGCCAAGCACCTGACGCAGATAGACTGCCAGTTTGACTTTGAGAAGCGGCGGGCGATTATTATGGAGGGCAGCGATAACGACAAAATGGTCTGGACGACGGTGCAGGATTTCGCGCATGTGGTTGCGCGTGCCATTGAGTTTAAGGGCGAGTGGCCTGTAGTGGGCGGGATACAGGGGTCGCGCATGTCGCTCAAGGAACTCATTGCCATGGGCGAGGAGGTACGTGGTGAGTATTTGTATGCTTTGGGTCCTTTGTGTTACTGACGGCGGTGCAGGCGGCGCGTTCGCGGTTGAACGCATTCCAAAGGAGGATCTGGTCAAGGGGACGTGGAAGACCTCTTGGCTTCCTATCGTTGCTCACCCTGCGATCGCTCCCGAGCACCTCGAAGCTGCGGCAAAGGAGATTATGGCTGGGCTCATATTGGCCGTGAACAATGGGTCTTTTGATATCAGCGGCGAATGGAACAAGCTGCTGCCAGATTACAAGTTCACGGATGCGAAGGAATTTTTGAGCTGGGAATGGAGGGGCAAGCCATGAAAGGTGATGGCGCTGAGATGGCGTGGTCTGGCAGACTCTGGTATAGGCGGGTAGTTGTTATGTGACAGTACTTTATTATCAATCCTTTCTTGCTGCCTTGCTTATTAGCTTGCTTAGGTTATATGCGGAGACACTTCGTCCGCCGAGCTCGGGCGAGCAACTCAAGCGAGGAACCGCGCCGCATCCTTGACTTCTCTCGGCTCAACAATTCGCAAACAAACACCCCCTGGTCGAGAGCAGCCGCACAGTAATGTCATCGCAGCCCCCTCAATATGGTGAAGAACGCCCCGCGAAGCGAAGAAAGACCCGAAAAGGAACGCAAAGCTGCTGGGAGTGCAAGAAGCGCAAGGTTCGCTGTATTTGGACCGCACCCACCGATGCAGCATGCGCCAACTGTGTGCGGAGAAGTGCAAAATGCATCAGTCAGGAATACCCGGATCAGCCTCAGCAAGGCCCAGATGGGATAGAGGATCGCCTTCGCCGGGTCGAGGATTTGCTTGCGCAACTGGTCAACTCGACATCTGGAATGTCGTGCCATACAGTGCAAGCCATCACGCACCAACAGTCGAGTGGGGATGCCCAGATGTGCCCTTCTCCTCCAGCGACTTTGACACCTGCTACTTTGCCAAACTCTTCAAGCGCATCGTCCCGTGACTCTTACACTGGCTTGTCGCGAGACCTCCTTGTAGCATGGCCTGCTCCATGCGATCTTGAGCGCATCTTCACACTCCCGATTGGACTTGCGATACATCACCATTTGCAGTACCAAGTCTCTTCATCTGCGACTAGGCCTAAAGAGACAATCACAGTGCGCGAGATGCTGCAACTGCCACCTCCAGATTCACCCCCTATTCTTGTTGCTCGCAAGCTGTTGCTCCTGGCATGTCTTTTGCATGGTGCACTTCCGACTGCCGACATGGAAGAGAGCGAGCGAAGCTACTACAGTAACATCATGTCCCGCGCTGCTGATACGGCTACGAGACTTGCAACGTCCAACGACGAGCTGACAGCTTCCATCGAAGGCATCGAGTGTATCATGATGGAGGCCATGATTCAGAACCACACGGGCGATTTGCATCGAGCGTGGATGGCAGTTCGTCGCGCAACAGCCGTCGCGCAGATACTCGGCCTGCACCGGAAAAATTATCGGCTTCCTGTGTGTTTGTCGTCGGAGTCTCCCACGGTGTGTGGTGCGGATCGGGATGCGATTTGCTTCTGCATTGTCAACATGGATCGTTACCTGTCGCTTGTCCTAGGTCTCCCACCCTCATCGTTCGAGGGACACACTCTTGGGCCTGCGGCGCTGGCCAACTGTCGTCCATTCGACCGCATGGTACGCATGCATTGCATTATTGCAGGGCAGATTTTGACGCGCCAAACTGGAGCACTTGGCGCCAAAGCGTCGGAAAGCCTTGACGCAACCAACAAGATGCTGCAAGACGCTGCCGCGCTGATGCCCTCCGACTGGTGGCTGGTACCTAGCTATGGAGAAAGCCATAGCACTGGAATATCGGCTGTGCAAGAGACGACTCGCGCCATGTTCCAGCTCTCTCACTATCATCTCGTGATGCGGTTGCATCTGCCCTACCTTCTCCGCTCGTCAGCGGACAACACGAGCGATGGTAGCAAGGCTGCAGCAATCCACGCCAGTCAAGAATGCCTTTCCCGGTACATTGCGTATCGGACGTGGAATACTGGACTGTCGTATTGTCGGGGAGTAGACTTTCTCTCCTTCATCGCGCTAACAGTATTGTGTTTTGCTCACATCGATGCGTGGAACCATCCCAACGCTCCTCTGGGCGCAGTACTCAAGCATAGTCGGCTGAGTGACCGTGCCATGATGGATCGTATAGTAACAATCCTCAATGGGGTGCAGGGGGATTCTATGGTAGCCACTCTCTCGCGCGTCATGCGAAATCTACTTGATGCTGAAGCGGCAGCGGCCAACGGGGTCTGTTACAACGCCAGTACTAGTGAAAATGACGAAGATCCCGCAGCAGGATGTGGTGGCCAGTTTGTTGATGGCGAGCAAGGGTCGCTTCAGCTTCATATACCATATCTTGGTTCACTCAGTCTCCACCGCAGGCCAGCATCGAGCACCGACACAATCCACGATGTGCTGTCCGGCCATGCTGACAATATCATGGCGCCCACGCTCGTAGAAGGTAACCAATGGTCACTGCTCGATTGGTCGAATGACCTTGGGACACCAGATGATCGGACGCTGCAGGGCCTCAATGAAGCCCTTTTCGGTAGTCTCTTCGGTGATATTGAGGATGAATCCATCGATCCGAATCCCGGCTGGTCGATAGATTTGTAGGGACGGAAGAAAAAAAACGAAAGGGTATCAAATCACGGCAGGGGTATGGGCAATGGTTCTGGTTGACGCTGTAGCATAGTCAGCTACAGACTCCATGATGATGTGACAAAGTCGAAGAACAAATATTTGAATTTTGGCATACAGAAAAAGTCCCCCCGGGACCTGGTATCCTTTTCAATCCGATTCTCTTGCAAAATAACAGCATGTTTGTAACGCCGGGAAATGCCGTGGGTCGAACGCCAGTGTCTATCATAACTCATGATCGTCGTTTGCCGATGCGACCCGGACCGGCGCGCTGGCCCTTGAAGGGCTTGAGAGCGCCCTTGCCTCGCGATGTGGGGAACGAGACCTTGTTGTGCGGCTTGCGACGGAGCTGTTTCCGCGTCTGGCTCTTGTCCTTTGTTTTGGAAGAGCTCTTGGCAGCGGCCGTTGAGGGAGTGTCAACGTCCATATCTATCACAAAGATGGAGTTAGCCCTTGATTCTTACCCGGCCAGGACGGAGGGAAGCGGGTCAAAGGCAAGCTCGAGGTCGCCGTTGGGGGTGAAGCCCACAACGTCCGAACACAGGCCCAGCTGGAAGCACAGGTTCCTGAGGTCACAGTCGTCTTGCGCATCGTCTTGGGGCGGTGGCGAGGCGCTCGCGAGGGAGCGCGGAATGGGGGCAGTGAGAAAAGACGAACCTTTGGGCAAGTCGTCTTGGGCGGCGGCCTCGTTGGCGGCATCTGGAGTGTGGCAAGGCGCGTTAGCAGGAGGACATGTGCGGGTGAATGCGACAGGCTTACCGCCGTGGGCCGTGTCCATTTGGCTGCTCTCGGGCTTGGGCTGCTGGATGGTTTCGAGCAGTTTGGCGTGCAGGCGCTCGGCGCGGGCCTGCTCGACGGGGCCAAAGACACCAGCGCGGAGCTTGGAGCGGTTGGCCTTTTTGCTGCTTGCGCGGAGCCCCTTTGCCATTGCGGGTGATTGTAATTAGCCTGCGGTGTTGCGGGTGATGTTGGGGGCGGCTATGGTGTTTGGAGCGTATTGGTATACTGCGCAGGCGAGTCGAGGTGGGGAAAGGAAATAATAATTTTGGTGGCGACAGCGCCGACGCCAGGGCAGGTCGGCCCGTGCGCTGCCGTGCCCTGGTCGCGCCTTCGTCTGCCTACGCCTATTAGTGACGCTGACTGACTTCGGCATCCGCCTTGCTGCAGCTTGGAGATGCGCTCGCCGCGAGAGCCGCCGCCATCCTCGACGGCGACATAATCGACAAGGCACCGCCTGCTGGCCTTTGTCTCTGCTGCTCTCTCTCTCTCTCTCTCCGTCTTCTGCTCTCTGCTCGCGCCCTGCCCTGCCTGCGCCCGCCTGCCTGCGCCTGCCTTCCTGCCTGTTCGCTCCTGCCCTGCTCTGCTCTGCGAGAAGGCGCGACCAATACCGCTCGCCCGACTGTTGCGCTCCACGGACTCGACAACCTCACTCCACGCCCGCCAAGCTGAAGTTGGCCGCGCCCTCGTCTGCGCCCTCACCGCCCTTCACCTGCTCAAAATAAACGACAAGAAAAAAGCGCCTGTCCACCCCCATTCGGCCCCCGATGCCTTCGCCGGCGATTCTGCACCGGTAGCGCTTCACCTTCCACAGCCCTCCAGAACCCGCCCAGCCTGCTCACCCGCCACGCCCGAAAACTCTCTCTCGCGCCGCCCCTCGAGCCATGGCGTCGAGCCTGCAGCAGATGGCCGTGACCATCACGGAGCGCTCCAAGACGCTCATCAACAACGACCTCAAGAAGATCCTGAAAGAGGAGGGCACTTCGCAGACGGGCAACAAGGCTGCACTGCAAGCTCGCGTCATTGGCCGTACGTACCTGTCCGCTGCTCACTCGTCGCCCCGCGGCCGCTCGCTAACCTTCACCTTCACCAGTAATCACCAATGCCGTCGCTAGAAGCGACGCCGAGCAATTGCGCCGGCTGCAGTATCGCGTCCAGCACCACGGCGAAGCGCCTCCTCCAGCGACAGCCAGTCCCGCAGCCCCTTCGTACTCGCAGCCTGCCCCGCCCCTCGCAAACGGCTACACCATGGCTACCGGTTACCAGTCCAACGGTGCATACCAGTCGTACCCGCAGCAGCCCCATCAGCCCCCGGCGCCGCCTCGTAGGTCGCCCCTGCCGCGCCCCAGTGCGCAACCTGTGTATTGACCATGCGTGCTAGGCCCCACGTACTTTTTCAAAGACAGCCCCTTCTTCGAGATCCGCGAGCTCATTCTGACCAACATGACGCTAGACGGTACGTCTGCTGTCTTGGCCACCCTCTGCATGCTAGGCTAACTCGGACCAGCCTCACCCACGCACCGAGCCACGCTCTCACGAAATTTTACCCTGAACGAGGCCCAGACAGCACGCTTAAAGGCCGAGCCGTCCTTGCGACTGCTGCTCTTCTCCGCGCTCGAGCAGCCACTGGCTCCCTACTCACGCCTTGATGTCGCATTCCCCTCACAAATCGAGGTCAAGGTCAACGACGACGAAGTAAAAGCAAACTACAAGGGCCTCAAGAATAAGCCTGGTTCGACGCGTCCCGCCGACATTACCGATTTTGTCCGCACAAAGGTCGCCAACCAGCGCAACAGCCTCCTCATCACCTACGCCCTGACCCAGAAGGCAAGTCGATCAGAGGTTTCTTATCAACTATCTCCTGAAACACGACTTGAAACTAACAGCCAATCCCAGAAATACAACCTGTTCATTTACTTGGTTAGAAAGTTTTCGGTCGAAGAATTGACCCGGCGCATCAAACAACGCAATGTCATCACAAGGGAGTCTGTGCTAAGTGAGAGTAAGACGCCCGCTGCGCACGTGGCTCCAGCCTCAACTAATCTGCTAATAGTGGTGAAGAAGGCCAACGACCCTGACATCGAAGTCGGATCTACCGTCATGTCGCTAAAAGACCCCATCTCCACGCTGCGCATCGCCACTCCCTGTAGGTCGACCGTGTGCACGCACAACCAATGCTTCGACGCCGAATCTTTCCTCCAGCTTCAGGAGCAAGCGCCGACATGGACCTGTCCGATTTGCAGCAAGACGATATCGTTTGAAGCACTGGCCGTCGACCAGTATGTCGAAGACATCTTGAACAAGGCACGCAACACCGACCAAGTCACTATCCAGCCAAGTGGCGAGTGGTCGACGGAAAAGGACGTGAAGCCCCAACACAATAGCCATGACGACGACAGCGACGATGACCTCGTCGAAATCACTGACTACCGCGTCCAGGCCATCAAGAGCGAAGCCGCACCAACGCCCACCTCGCTCAGCACACCTCCACTGCCCTCTCGAGAAGCATCCATGGCCCCTCGCACTGGCCAGAAGCGGACATCGGAAGTGGTAGACTTGACGTTGAGCGATGATGACGAGCCAGTGAGGCCTGCTAAAAAGGTAGCGTATACTACTACCCCCAACAGCCTCCCTGATGCGTCACGTCGGTACCAGTTACCACCTGTGGGGACCCATGGTCGCGCGCCGCCTCCTCCGCCGCCACCAACGTACCAGAATAGCTCTTCCAATACGCGTTCGGAATACTCTCGGCCTCCATCTACGCCTCCGCCGCGCCATACTTACCATGCCTATCGGCCGGCGCAGCCTTCGCGGTCTGGGTATCCCGGGCAGGGTACCTCGGCGTATCCCACACATATTGGCTCTTCCTCACCCTGAAAATACATGTTGGGCTGTTTAGTTGTGCATTCTCATTGATGTATGAGTATTTTGTTCTTGGGCTAACACGTCTTCGGCCTCACAGAGCAGAACCAGATGAAGTAGTACAGGCGTCGCCCTCCCCAGCCGCCTCATTGCGCGCGAGACGTGTGCGGGTGTACGGAGCGAATTTTTCTGCATCTCCTTCATGATTTGACATGGGGATTTAGCGCGCGGCGTTTGGAGGGCAACATCTCATGATGATCTATCTGCTTACAGCGTACCAAAGGATTGGTAGACATTGGAAGATACCACGGCATTGGAGGATTGCATGCATCTCGATGGCTTTTGTAAGCGAGTTCTGCGGACGATGAAGAGAAATGGGAATTGCGTGTACAAAAGATTTGGTCAAGCGGCGAGATAAGGAGGTGCACCAGAAAGGGGTAATGTGTGTAGTAGTGATCCCTTTGGGCTCTGGTAATAACGAAGCCTGAACGCGTAAAATCGGTTCCGATGTTGTTCAAGGTTCCCAGGGACCTTTTGCGAATCCACCGCTAATATTCTCCGCCTCCCCGTCTTCTTTGACGACGAGCACGTCTTCATGGCGCACACCAAATTGATCCATGAGGTAAACGCCAGGCTCAGCGGTGAATACCATACCTGGTCGCAGTGTTGTCGCCAAGTTGCCTTTGTTCAGGTACGGGCTTTCGTGCGCTTTGATGCCAATGCCATGGCCTAGACGATGGGTGAAATACGGGCCATAGCCTGCCGCTTGGATAACATCGCGCGCAGCAATGTCAACAGACGCGGCCGTAGCGCCTGGTACCATTGCCATGACAGCTGCTTTCTGCGCATCCAGCACGAGCTGCCAGACATGCAGCTGCTCGGTTTGATTGTGTTCTGAAGCCTGTGGTGCTGCTTCAAAGGGGGGATAGAACGTACGACTCACATCGGAGCTATATCCATACAACTTCGCTCCGACATCAATGAGCACAAACATACCAGCCTCAAGCTTCCTCGTCACATCGTATCCGCCATGCGGCAGCGCCGCACTCTTGCCGAATTCCACAATATCGAAGAAGGGATCCAGTCCTGCTGCGCGCAGCGTATCATCCAGCACAAGCTTGACTTGGTTTTCAGTCACCCCGGGATAAAGACACTGTCTCATAGCGCGGATCGCCTGCGCGGTCCCCGTGTTCACGGCTTTCAAAATACCAATTTCACGCGCTGTCTTGACCTGGCGCGTGGCTTCGACTTGGCCGGCCAGCCCAGCGACAGTAAAGCCATTGGACGCCAGGCCGCGCTGGATGAAGTCGCGCATTTCGTCGTCTACCATGAGCTTGGGCGACAGCGTATCGCCCCAGATCTCCGACAGGGAAAGCGTCGTATAGTAATTCCAGTGCTCTTCATACGCCACAACATGAATGTCATTTTCAAACGGCATGCTGAGCATCCTCGCGCGCGCCTCTTCAAACCGCGGCACCAAAAATGTCGTGTTAGCCACCACCGCGTCGTCTTCGTCCGCAGTCGCCTGCACCTGTGGCCGGATCACCATGAGAAACGGCCGATCCTCGGGCTCCCATCTTAGATTAATAAAAGAACAAAACGAACTTGCCACCTACCACCCTGTACACCCTAAAACCTACATAAAAAGAAACCTTAAAACGTCCTATAACTTAATCAAGTATAAAAAACATAACTTAAAAAAATCTAAAGAGTCTCAAAAATTTTAAAAGAAGTAAGCTTATACCTTATTTTATAAACATATACGTTTACCATAAAAATAGTATAACGTGTTTCACCAGTAAGCGGGCCACCCTAGTATGTAGGCCACTTCCCTATGATATCCCACCTTTGCAACAACAACGCGTAATGTCTCAACAACGCAACGCGTTAAAAACTTATACTAAAGCAGATCTATTTCTTGCTATTACTAATCTTAATTCTAAACAAATTCAGAGTGAACGACGCGCTGCTGCCGCCTATAGCGTCCCACGAACAACAATCTAGCGTCGACGAGCTAGACAGCGCCCTCAAAGCGATTGGGAGCCACTAGCAAGGCGCCTAACAAAACTAGAAGAGGAGGCTATTACTATGCGTGTAATAGTCGAGGCTGAGCGAGGACTACCCTGTGGGAAAGACGACGTGCGAGATATGGCCAACAGACTGCTCCAAGAGCGTGGCGGGAAGGAGGTGGGCAAGAACTAGGTTGATAGGTTTGTCTAGCGCAATCCTAAGCTGCGTACGCGCCAGAGCCGTCCATACGATCACCAGCGAGCTCTCTGCGAAGACCTCGCGCTTATTAAGGGCTAGTTTGAGCTAGTTTAGAATATAAAGGCAAAGTATGGTATCGTGGACGAAGATATCTATAACTTTGATAAGACTGGCTTTATTATAGGCAAGATTTTATCACAGTTAGTTATCACGGGCTTAGACAAACTAGGGAGAACAAAGAAGATCTAGCTAGGTAATCGTGAGTGGGTTACGCTGATACAAGGCGTTAGCGCAACAGGCACGCGTATCCTAGCGTTTCTTATCTTCGCTAGCAAGGTTCTAATCTCTACCTAGTTCACGGAGGATCTGCCACGCGACTAGGTGATCCAAGTTAGTCCTACTAGCTAGACGAACAACGATCTAGCGCTTGACTAGCTTCGTCACTTTGATTCCCATGCGCGGCCTGTGGGGACGCATAGGCTGCTTATTATTGACGGCCATGAGAGCCACTGCTCGGTGGATTTCCGAGATCTCTGCGAAGAGATGAAGATAATCCTCCTCTGTATGCCTCCCCATTCGTCGCACCTCTTACAGCCTCTTGATGTGGGCTGCTTCTCGCCGTTAAAGCGCGCGTATGGTGATGCTATCTTAGTCTTAGCACGCAATTGCATCTACTATATTAGCAAAGAAACCTTCCTACTAGCGTTTAAAAAGGCCTATTATAAGGCTATTACACTAGAAAATATCCACAGAGGGTTCTAAGGTGCTGGACTTTCACCGCACGATTATAACGTTGTTTTATCACAGCTTAACGTCATGCTGCGTACGCCAACTCCACCAGCGCAAGAGACTACTGCATGGGAGCCAAAAACGCCGCGCAACGCGCGCGAAATAGAGGCGCAGGCTACGCTTATTCAAAACCGTATGCAAATCCAGCAAGGGTCTCCTACAAGTTCTCTTAAGGAGCAGATATAGCAGTTAAGTAAAGAAGCTTAGCAGATAGCTTATAATATAGTGTTAATGCAAAAGAAACTTAATCGCCTTAAAGCTACAATTACTAAAGTAACAAAGCGAAAAACTCGTAAGAGGCGCTACGTACAGGCAGAGGGGTCCTAGACAGTTAGCTAGATAGCTAATTAGATCGCTAAGGCAGAGGGTGGTAGCTATAATGATGGTGCAACGTCTGCGAAGAGGGTGCGTAGTGAACGGCGCTGCGGGCGTTGCAGCTAAACTAGACACAACTGTCGCACTTGTTAAGTAGAATTAGAGGATACAAAGGATAGCAATACGTTTAAAGAATAATATCTTATTCTACTTAATAAAAAAAATTATAGTGGTGTTGCGTAATACTATTACAAAGATGTAAAAGTTTAAGGAGGTAGCCCACATACTGGGGTGGCCCGCTTACTAGTGAAACACGTTACCACTTAATCTAGTTATACCTACTACATTCGACGCTCTAAAAATTAGAAACGCCTTTAACAAAGCCTTTACAACAAAGGGAGGAGTACAATTCCTAGTAGTAGCCTTAGTAACACCTTTAGCAAAAGGCAATAAAATAGTTACTACTACCTTAGCTTTTTTAGCAAAATACCTTCTAGAAAACCAAGAGATCTAGAAGGATATCACAGAGTTCAAAGCAGCCTAACCAATCACCCCTTAGTTTAAAGTAGTTATCCATAAACTACTAACAGACCATAGCCTAGAGGACCTAAAGGAGGAAATTGAAATCTTCAATAAAGGCCTAAAGGTAGTAGGCAACCCCTTCTGGCTAACACTAGAATCTAGAAGAGGAAACCAAAACTTTAGATCCGCCTGCGTAGCTTTTGCTACAGAACAAGAAGCCTAAAGAGCTATTAGAAGAAAGCTCTATATTCTAGGGCAGAGCCTTAGAGCAGAGAAACTAAGAGTTATTAATAACTCTAAATAGTGCTCTAAATGCCAAGGTTTTGGGCACCTAGAGGCTAAATGCTCTAAAGTAGCCTGCTAAATCTGCAGCGAAGCCCACCACACTAGCCTCCATAAGTGTAATTCTTGTTTAAGCAGAGGCAAGCCTTGCGTTCACACTATCTTTAAGTGTGTAAATTGCAGCAAGCCCCACGTAGCTAATAGCTAAAACTATGAAATCCTGCAAGCTAGGACGTCTAGGACTACTACCTCTTCCAACTAGAATGTTAAAAGTCCTATAAATAAATGTTAATAGAAGTAGCCCTACTACAGAGAGCGCTCTAAATCTAGCTATTTAGGTAAACGCCAAGATTATCGCTATACAGGAACCCTGGCTACTAAAGGGACATACCTACGAGAATACTAGATCAATCGCCCACCAAGACTTTACTCAAATACTCCCTACTTATAAGGGGTTAAGGCCAAGAACGCTCTTCTATATTAGAAAAGACCTAAATGTAGAGGTTAACTCATATATTAGCGACAACAACGATTTACAAGCTATTACAACACTCTCCTCTTTAACTAAGATCTATAACGTGGTTCATAAGCGAGCGGACACCCCAAGCGAGCGGACACCTCCCCACCAGCGCGTCGACGTTCATACTACAACGCGTTATGTCTTAACCACATTAGATTTAACAAACTTTTTCTAAAGCTAATATCTAACTTGCTATTTCTAATATTAATTCCTAACGTGTAAAGAGTGTTAAACGTGCTGCTAAGATCTATAGCGTCCCTCGAATAACTTTATTTTACCAACGCGCTGGAAGACACTCTCAACGCGACTGCGAGCCAAATTCAAAGCGCTTGAATAAGCTAGAAGAGGAGGCTATTGTTAGGCGTATTCTTGAAGAATCTACGCGAGGATTTGCGCCTACAAAGGCTAAGGTTCGAGCAATAGCCGATAAACTGTTAGAGGAGCGTGGTGGCAACCCTGTTAGCAAGAACTAGGTTAACAACTTTGTTAGGCGGACTGCTGAGCTCCGTACGCGCTAGAGCCGTCCCTATAATCACCAGCGAGCCGCCTGCAAGGACCCAGTGGCTATCCAGCGCTGGTTCGACTTAGTCCAGGCGACAAGGCAGAAGTGGGGTATTGTGGACAACGATATCTACAACTTTGACGAAACTAGCTTTATAATAGGCAAGATTTTATTATAGTTATTAATTACAGCATTAGAAGGATGTAGGAAAAAGAAGCGGATATAGCTAGGCAACCGTGAGTGGGTTACTATGATCTAAGGCGTGGGCGCGTTAGGTCGCCAGATACCACTATTCGTTGTCTTTGCGGGCAAGGTGCTTATCAACGTCTAGTTTAAGAATTTGCCTGCTAACTAGGTTCTTAAAGTCAGTCCCAATAGCTAGACGAATAATTAGCTTAGTCTTGCCTAGTTAGAGCACTTTAATACCCATACAAAGAGCCCTACTGTGGGTGGGTATCGACTGCTTATTATTAACGGCCATAAGAGCCACTGCTCCATCGAATTTCAAGATCTTTGCAAGGAGAAGAATATTATTCTTCTCTGCATACCTCCACACTTGTCTCACCTATTACAGCCCCTTAACGTCGCCTGCTTCTCGCCGTTAAAGCGCAAGTATAGCGACGCTATTTCAGGCTTAGCACGCAACCGCACCCACTATATCAGCAAAAAGACCTTCCTACTAGCCTTTAAGACTGCTTTTGAGCAGTCTATCACGAAGGAGAATATCCAAGCTGGCTTTAGAGGCGCTGGTCTAGTCCCACACGACCCACAGGCTGTGCTATCTAAGCTTGATGTGGTGGTGCAGACACCTGTACAATCACCGCAACAGGTAGCCGCCTGGCAGGCGCAGACACCACGCAACGCGCGCGAAGTTAAGTCTCAAATTGGTCTCATTCAAGAGAGCGTGAGAAAACGCCGTAGGTCTTCTACCAATTCACTCACTAAGCAGATCGCGCAGCTAAGTAAGGGGGCCTAGCAAATGGCACATAAAATAACGCTTATGATGGAGGAAATGGGTACGCTTTAAGCGGCTCTTAACAAGTCAAATAAGCGTAAAAGCCGCAAGCGGCGATACGTACGGACAGAAGAGACTCTTACTGTAGGCGAAGTACAAGAAGTATTAGCTGAACAGGCGGGTAGCAGTCGTGGTGATGGTGAGAGTGCGTCGAAGAGGGTGCGAGGAGAGCGGCGGTGCGGGCGTTGCAAGCAGACTGGACACAACGCTCGTACCTGCGCAGTTAAGATAGATAGTGCAAGTGATAATAGCGATTCTAATAATTAATTTAGTATATTGCAATAGTTTATTGACTGTGATAAAAGGCTGTGATAACGTGTTGAAGTTGACGCGCTGGTGGGGAGGTGTCCGCTCGCTTGGGGTGTCCGCTCGCTTATGAACCACGTTATATATAGCGTTATTCTTAAGCGTATAGATAAAAAATAATAGCTTTACCCCCCCCCCCTTTATAGCTATAATAAGGTCTATATAGCTATTTTAAGTCAAAAATGAATAAATCAAGATATTATTTAAGTATACTACTACATAGACGTTAAGTATCTCGAGTAGCACGTAGTTTATATAGTATTAAAGAGTTAAGAGCGCCGTAAATAGTCTAAAGAGGTATAGTAACTATTAAA